CAGCCACAACAGTGTGAATTCCTCAGGGAGGTGTCAGTCTCATCCTCTTGTTCCTCCCACGTGGTTCTGATGAGCTAAGAAAATGCTTATCTCCCTGAGCTTGGCCTTCATAATTCCATTCCATCACAGGAACCCTGCTTTAGAGGATGCTATCAGAAAATGGCACAGATGATTTGGGTGAGAATGAAGGAAAATCAGTGGATAGATATCGCGGCTTCCTTTCTGAGCCCTGTCCCTGGTCACAGAGAACACCCTGGTTCCCCAAAAGTACATCGTATTTTAGAAAGTCTACTTACCTAGCTAGACTGAGTCCAATCCCATTATCTGCAAAACTAGAAGAAAGAGCAAAATAAAAAAGTATAGAATTTTTAAAAATTACACCATGATTCTAATCTGCCCCCCACCCCCCATACACACACATAGTTAAGCACCATTGCCAGCATCAAGGATGCTTCCAGATAGACAACATTTCTTCTTCCAGTTTAAAATACAAAGGTTGATCTGTTCTAACTATTTTCAACATCTGGATGAAATGACCATGAGGTCTACAGGTTTTGCCGAGAACCAGCGGTCAATCAACACGTGCCACTTCTGGCCAACAGGAGAGCAGAGAGGTTGGTCAGCCAAACAGTGCTTACTTGCCAACCAAAAACGAAGTGGCTCCATTTTGTCCCCTTTGCTTCCCCCCTCTTCACAAAAATAAAAGAAGACCAATTTTGAGCACCCCCCCTGTGTTTCTGGGCTCAAGACATACCAGCAGTTCTGTGCTTCTGCTCTGTTTCCCAAGCCTACTATTTCAACACAGTGATGGGATTTTAGGAACTGGGATGCAGAGCAATCCCATCCAAGGGAGCCCTGAATGCAGCTTCAGATGCAACCAAGGGATAACTGAATACCACTGGCGTAAACTAATTTTACCTATGTTTCCCTTTTTTGTCCCTTGTCTAATCCTGTTAATTTATTTGGCTTACTGTTTCTTAGAGAGCCATTTTGGTGTAGTGGTAGAAGGCATCAGGCTAGAAACCAGGAGACCATGAGTTCTAGACCTGCCTTAGGCATGAAGCCAGCTGGGTGACCTTGGGCCAGTCACTCACTCTCAGCCCTAGGAAGGAGGCAATGGCAAACCACTTCTGAAATCTTGCAAGAAAACCGCAGGGACCAGTCCAGGCAGTTGCCAGGAGTCAACATTGAGAAGACACAAAAATAATAAGAACATCACTTCTGTGCTTGGCATAACTTCTGAAGTATCAATCACACTTTTAAAATGGAAGCTCCCACTCCAGGGGAAAAATGGAGACGAATAGAGGTAACTTACAACTGCAACCTTCTGAGCACAACATTACTGGTGTCACACTTCAAACTTTTCTGAGCATAAGTCTTTGCAAAATGTCTCATTTTGAGTGTAAAGTTGATGTTTCAAGCATGAATCAAGGCTGCAGCTCTTCAAACAGCCCATTTCACACTTGGAAGGGGGTATACTGAGAGGTTTCAGGCTCAAAATGGTTCAAAATGAGACTTTTGCACATTCTTGGTTATATCAAGAGAGGCTCAGCTTCCTCCAAGACTGAGACAATAACCTTTGATTGATAACCTTCCACAAGTGATGTTTGAAGTCACCTACCCACCATTCTGGAAGATAATCTCTCCTCTTCTAGACCAGGCACTATGGTCATTATTTGCAAAGGCAATGAGGCCCTCAATGACATCTGGAACTGGGCCGCTTCAGGGTCAGCATCCTGATGGGGGTAAAACCTGAAGCAGAGAATAATCATGAGCCCAGCAGAATTGGAAATTACTATACATGCCACAGGGGGAAAAAAAGGGGGGGGGCAATCAAAAGCTAACCCACACTCCAAAATACTTGAGCTGAAACAGAGCCCCAGAGTTCCAGCATTTCTGGCTATGTGTCTGCAAGCTGGAATGATTTCAAATATGCTGAGCTTATGAGACTGCATATTGTACTTCAAGACTAAAAAAAGCAAGTGCTGGAATCATACAGTAGAAAAAGCATCTTCTGAACTGTTAAGCCCTAAAGAATGGGGAAAGTATGCTGCCCTGGAAGTTGTCCCAGGATTCAGGAAACTCCCCCTGAAATTCTGCTGTCTCCTTTTCTAGATCTCTGGATGCCATGGCAGGCATGGGTACTTTCCCAAATCTAAAAGCACTGGGCTACTTCACGTAGGCATCTCTCACTGCTAGATGTCTCTGCCTATGAATAGATCTGTTCACAAACTCCATCAGTGATATAGTGTCAGTGGAAGCTGATTCATGCAATTGTTATCTCCTTGATGGACCAACTCTCAAGTAATGGCTACATGTGTGGGAAGTAAGCCTTAGCTTTGCACATATGCTGGAGGGAGAAGTATGGGAGGACAACACAGCTGGACTGCTAGATGCCCCATTTCCAGGAGTCACCCAAAGGCAGGTAGACAGGAAGATTGTTTGTGATACCATACAAATGAACTGCAGTGTGATATATCACTCTTTGGCCAAAGGCTACAATAACATACATAGTTGAAAAAGGCAAATGAAAAATATAATTTAAAAAGATTGCAAAACCAGTCTTGGGCATAAAATCAACACCTCAATGTTTTGCCCACCTAGAACAGAACATGGCAGTAATACAGTAACATAGCCAGTTTGGTCTAGTAGTAAGACACCAGGCTAGAAACCAGGAGACTGTGAGTCTTAGGCAGAAAAGCCAGCTGGGTGACTTGGGGCCAGTCCCTCTCTCTTAGCTCAACTTACCTCACAGGGCTGTTCTCGTGGGGAGAATAGGAGGAGGAAAGAGTATTAGATATGTTCACCTTGAGTTATTTATAAAAATAATAAAGATGGGATAAAAAAAATCTTTAAAAAAACCCTTTTCATAAAACATATGTGACCATCTTTCTCTATATGGGGCCCTCAAGATGGGTTATAATTTCCAGAGCCTCCAGCCAAGTATTAGCCAACCTGGATGGGAATTCAATCAATACACAAAATTTCAGGCCAAAGGACATACTTAAATTTTGGCTGGGTTTACATAACATGCTAGTCTAGGCCAAAATGGAGCTAGGTAGCTCATGATTCAGCCTGTTGTGGGAACATTCTATGAATGAGATCATTACATTAAGGCGTAATATGGTTAATTTGTTATGCAAATACAACAATTGTATTTTGTTAACTTGGGCTTAGGTTGTAGCATGTTATATGAATCCAGCCCTTGAGTGACATATTAGATGCCAGAACAGAAACAAAATTTTGATTTTTAATTTTAAGTTAAATTAAGTGTGTTAACGTGATTAACATCAGGCTTCACCTCCCAGGCAGAGGAACTAATGAGACAACTGATGATACGCAGCCTTATATCTCCACCCCAGGCTGTCTTGAGTGATGCCATGGACATCCTGTCCCGGGCCTGGAGGCTGTGAGGGCCTGGACTGGGTACAACAGGCTATGGCTCAACCCAAGCAAGACTGAGTGGCTTTGGGTATTTGGACTTCCTGGGGCCGGGACCTTCCACCTTTAGTTTTAGATAGGGTGGCACTGCCTCAGACAGACCCGGTGCATAATCTGGGGGTCCTCCTGGATTTGTCACTTCTGCTTGAAGAGCAGATAGCAGCTATGGCTAGGAGGGCCTTTGCACTCCTTTGGGTTGTGCATCATTTGTGCCCATTCCTGGACCGAGAGGCCCTGCTCATGGTCACTCACACTCTTGTGACCTCCCATACAGACTAGTGTATTGCACTATACATGGGGCTGCCCTTGAAGAAGATTCAGAAGCTTCAATTAGTGCAGAATACAGTGGCACAGATAGTTAACGGTGCTGGTTATTCGGCACATGTAACACCACTACTCTGTGAGCTGCACTGGTTGCCAGTGTGCTTCTGGGTGCAATTCAAGTTGCTGGTTGTCACCTTTAAAGCCCTTCAGGGCTTGGGGCTGGCTTACTTAAGGGGCCATCTCTTCCCAGTTGTTTCTACCTGTCCCATTTGGTCCAGCAGGATGGGCATACTTTGGGTCCCATTGACTAAGGATTAAGGTGGCCCCAACCCTGCTGGCCTTTTGTAAAACCCTAAAGACCTGGCTCTGTGCTCAGGCCTGAGGCCCCAAGTGTGTAAGGATCCTGTCTCCTAGCTATGTGGATGATGGTTTGTTGCTCTCAGCTGCTATGTAGTTTAGCTTTTGTATATGTATTTAGCTTTTTTGTTCGCCACCCAGAGTCTTTGTCAAAATGGGTGGCTATATAAATTGATTGAATAAATAAATAAAAAACAAAACTTCACAAAAAATCCAAGAACTTCAGATAAGTAATATTTCTTAGGAAAGTAAAAAGTCATATCATGGAACTTCAGGAACTGCTTTAATGAGAGAGGGAGAGAGACAGACAGACAGACTCACTCAATGGTCAATTTTCTTGTTCTTATCTTGTTTTTCACTGATTGTATGAGAACTCACACTCAATAAATTTTGCCTTCTGTCATTTTATACATTACAATTTAGTGACAATTTTTGAGAGCCTTCAGGATTACACTCGGACATTCAAGAAGCCACATGGGGCCTCTGTCTGTGCATCTCTGCTGTGGAGTCTATTCTGGCTGCAGAAATCAGAGATTTCAAGAGGATTTTTTTTTCTTAGTCCTGGTAGCCAAGTATGCAGCAAGTGGAGATGTCAAGAACCTTGGGGCCTTCTACTTTACCACAGAAGGATGGGCCAGTCCCAAATATTTGAAGTTGAGAGCAAATCAGGAAAGTAGATCCAGGTAGAAGGCCAAGTTGGAAGTGAGTTAGCATGTCCTAGTTTATAGTGGTAAACATGGAAAATTCTATTAACTGGGTTAGTGTCAACAAGGGAAAGGGGAATCTTGCTCCAAAAACAGAAAGATGTTGATGCATGATAGGATCTTGACAAGCAAGCATTTCCTATAGAGATGCTACCCCAGAGCATCTTTCTGTTGGAAGTTCAAACTTGAAATGGAAAATTGTGTGCCAAAATGAGGAAGTTCTCAGGTTGCCTTCCTGAATGGAGACATGACCTCAACTCAGAAAGAAGGCTGAAAGTCTAGCTTATCAGATATATGAATCAAAGACATTACACCAGTTCTCTTAGTCAACACAGCCCATTTGATAGGATTTGCCAGAAATTCCTCAGTACAAACAGCAGTGACTCCTATTTTAATTGTCAAGGCTACGTCAAAATCTATATATAATGCAGCATGTTGTGTGGGTTCAGCCAGCCATGCCAGCCATTCATCAGCTGTCAGATGATAAAATGAATAAACATTTAATTACCTTTGTGTTACACACCCACAGGCAACATTTCCCAAGCTACAAGCAGGAGAGACCACATGTTTGAGCCTGAGAAATGCATTAAGGAATCCTGCAAGTTCAAACACCAGCTTGCAGCTTCAGAGAACCACACTCACAATGTTTCTACTAGGGTTAGCCATCATGTCAGAGAAAGGCTGAGATTCCAGGAGCCACCTTAAATCATGGACATCATCTGTTCTCAGCCGACAGCTTTGGAATCCTCCTGTACCAGTTTAATTCTTTTAAGATGATTATTTGAGTGTTATAGTTAACAAGCACAAATGTTCTTAATCTTTTTGCAAGGTTTTTCTTTTTTTTTTAAAAAAAAAAACATTTTAAAACATTGCAAAGGATCTCATGGCACCCTAACAATTAACACAATTGTTCTAAAGGTTTCGCACACATCGAACACACCCATCCCGAAAAAGGACGCAGCCTAACAAATGTGTTATGCTAAGGTACCATGATTCTATGCAAGGTTTCAAAAAGATCCCTTGGAAAAGAAAAAAAGTTCCATAGGAAGCTTTTTCCTCCTGAATGTTTCTATGAATTTCCTTTGGGGGAAAAAATAGGTTCAGCTTTTTCCTCTATAAAAATTAAAGACAAAAATAATGTGGGGGGTGGGGAGTGAAAGGAAGAGAGAGGTTTATTCAGCTTAGGCTCACTGCCATTCATTCAGCTTTCTAGATAGGGGCCAAGGGCCACCTGAATCAGTTGATTAACAAACCATTAGAGGTTTCGTAAGCCATGAATTAGCCTCAGGCAGAGGTATTCAGTTGTAATCATTTTGTCTGTGCTTTTGCTTGTAAGAATCAGCATGTCTTTAGCACTTGCTAACAGGAATAGAAGAGCTGACCACAAAGGCTTCCTGCAGAGACTAGCTGGCAGGCTGCAACTTTGACACCTTGCTAAGAAACTTTGCAAGCGAGCCTGTGACTGGCCTAAAGGAAGGTGACTGACGTTCAGGTTCAGCTGCGGTTAGAGGCATCCGGATGAGGGTCCGGAGGTGAACAAAAGTTTATCATTAGCAGGCTAAAAAGCACACCCAGAGGTGGAAATCTCATATGTTAATATCCCCCCCACTGGACTATTATGGGATAGAATGCTTTTGTGCACATGTCTATGGCGTTTACCAATCAGCTTATTGCTTCCTTGTTTGAACTGTATAAAAGATGGTTGCGGCTTCATGAAGGTGCGCTCGATCTGGACTTGGGTCCTGAGCGTACCTCTTTGCTTCTGCACAGAAATAAAGCATTTAGATTCCATTTTTCTTGACTCTGCGTGATTGATTGGCCCCTCGTGCCAGGTGACACGAACCCAGTGTTGGACTGGGCCAACAGGACAAATTCAGTCACTCCAGTGCAAGCATTTCCTACTTCAACCCATTCTCTGCATGATTTACAACCCTAGAAAGTCAGGTTTCTAAACTGTGCAGTGAGACTTCTCAAAACCACCCCCACTGTAGGAGCTTAGTCCCTAACATGGAGGCGGAGGATACTACAGAAACATGGAGGGAGGGAGAGCAGGTGAGGATAACAGGCCTGTCTCTTCTCTCAAAGTCTGGGTGGAGTAACAATTCACAGTGACTATGATGCCTACCATACAATCTCTTTATATATGAGAACATAATCGCCATAATCATGTATGGTAAAGCATATGGCTTCATTGCAGGCAGTTGGCAAGATGGTACCAGCGTTGGTAAGGCCATATTGAAATGTGTTTTGCTGTTCCATCTGTCTTCAAGAAAGAAGCAGTGCTTAGCACATCATAGCCAATGGTATCTTTCACCAAAGCAGACATCCAAGAGAAGAACGGTGGTTCACACTCTCAGCTTGTCTGTCTCACCATAAGACTGGTCTACCACTTCTTGTGATTAATCATCCAGGTCTGTGCCCTTAATTTTCAATATCTGGGGAGGAGCTTTGCTTCTAGGACTCCTTAATCCAGAGGCCTTCCCCTTCCCCCCCCCCACACCCCGCTTTTTGAGCCAAGAAATTTATTTGGCATTTTGAGTGGACTGTGACGCATTTCACAAAATGGCTACGACTGCAGTGAGGCTGCTAGTCACAAAATACCAGAAACAGATGAGGATGGTTCTTCCTCATCTCTTCTTCCTTCCTGTTTAACAAACCTCAATTTCAAAACCTCAAACCTTCTTTCCATGTCCTGCTAGATGGCTTATTTGGGACCCTTGCAATCATAGTCCATATTAACTCTGAGATTTTCTTCCCCCCTAAATTAGCCACACCACAAAGTCCAACCAAGAACCCTACAGGGCAACCTCACGGAACTCATGCTTATTTTTTAGACTGAAACCCTGTGTCATTGCCTTCTTTATGCTAAGGTTTAATTCTCACTGTCTAATGCTCTCCTCTGTTATGTATATGCTTTGGTATATGCACTCCCTTGAAAAAAGAGATAGTATTTTTGGGCTTGGAGCCCAAATGAGACATTCCGAAAACTTTTTGGCCAGATTCCTTCAGCATCATCTTGCATGGTAGATGGAGTGCCAAATTTGACCACAACTGAACATTATGGAATAGTCGTCAACACGTATTGTTGGAGAGCACAAACATTATTTATTATATTACCAAGCTATATATAAGTTTGCTATTTGGAAATGTCCCAAATCCGCTCATATTTGAAAGCCCAGAAGGGATGTAAGATTTGGCTTTCGAAGAAATTGACTTGATCCCATTTCTCTTCCCCACCCACCCCCAACCACCAGTCTTTTCAACGATATATAAGCAGAGGAAGATCTAAGCTGATACAATCAGTTCACCAATTATCTTTCCTGCAGCATTTTGACCTCCAACTTTCTGTGTGGAATGCAATATAATACTACAGTCCTTAGGAACATAAATCAGTAAGACTTTGTATACAGTTTAACTGGATTGAAACCCATGAGACTAGGCCATCATTTTGGGGAGAAATCCATATGTGCAATTTTTAAATTAATATGATGATTTAGATGTTTGGAAAGCTAACAAGGACATCATGAAGTTCCACATCGCACACCCTAATAAAATTGATCAGGCTGGATAAAGTCCTTGGCCTTTGGCCTACCTTTTATTAAACAACATCACTTGCTTCTAAAATTTACATTTAATTAAAACAGCCGAAAAATCCACATTAAAACATGGCCACATAAATTAAAGTGTTCCATCTATCAGTACTAAATGGCAGAGATTAAAATAACAACACTGATTAACAGGCCCATGTTGTAACACATGTGCAAAATTATTTAATTAAAATGCATGTTTCCATTTGTACCAACAGATGGACTCTTTCCATGATCCCAGACTCTTATCCACTGCAGTCAGAACCAAGAGCTCAGCTCTACCCTAGAAGCCAAAAGTGTGTGCACATCTGTGTGTATGCCCCCACACACACACACTGCTTCTGTCAACTCCTCCCCCACTTTCTTGATTCCCACAGCAGAAAAACAACAATTCTAAAGATATAACAAGCTCTTTTTTTTTTTTAATCTTTACATCCCTTTGATATCTCTTGCTAGATGAGAGAGATTTTATAAGAGAGGAAAGAGTAGGCAGGTTAGTTTTATTTGAAACCGCTATCTCCAAATGCACAACTTGATTCTACTATGACTCACAACTTATTCAAAACACAACCTGGGCAGACCACAGGAAATCCACAAGAGGATACATCAACCACACAAATTTAGCATTATTGGGCTTTTTGATCCAACTGGCGTAGCCCTACATAGGGCTGAATTGATGGGTTATTATTCTCCCTAACGCTAATCAGGGGTGGGGAGCCTGGAGCTCACTTCCCTCCCCCACCTATTTTTGCATCCCTGAAATTTCCAAGGTCAATCCCCTAAAACTGAATAGTTCAACGGTGATGTACCACAGCATAATTTTGTGTATTTTTTCATGAAACAAATGCTAAAAGATGTAGAAAGTTTCCACTGATCTTAGCACAGTAATTTTCTATTTAAATCTCCTTTCCAATTAGGAAAAAGCAGGCTAGAAAATTTGGAAGCCACCCTTTCCAGCTATCAATACCAGAACCCCTGGATTCCTCAGAGGCTACAACGTTGAGAAGGGAAAGTTGATCCCCAGCTGAAGAAGAAGAGGTAATGCAAAGTTTAGACAGCAGGCAGTTTGGCATCCAAAAAAGGAATAGTAGTACACAAGTTCCTACCAAAAAGCCATTGGTTCCATGGATGGCAACACACCTTGAAAAGCGGTGATGGATAGCCAGATTGTCCAAGTAAGCAGGTAAGTCACATCTTGCCTCTTGTCCACATCTTCTGCAGGATGAAAATGCACCAGGTAGTTGCCCAGAGTGTGCTGATGAAGATTCTTCAGCTCCATGATGGCCAGGTGAACAGAGGCAACATTTCTTTGCATCTGTTAAGACAAACCAGATATCAAGCGTAGTTAAAGGGGACACATCCAATTCCAAGAGGTTCAGATGTGAAAGAATTCATGGAAAACCTGCATCTCATCTGTCCATCAAACCTAAGCCTATCAGTCTAAACAGGGGACAGAAACTGAGACCACCAGAACCCAGGAAAATCAAATTCGGAACAACCAGTCGGGAGATGGGCTTTAAAAAAAGGGCAGGGAAATTCAATTTTGCTTTTATACTGTTATCTTCCACTGGACAGGAGAGGGTCTCTCTTTCCTGATTTGTACCAGCCAGATAAGCAAAGTCCAAATTCCCAGGGAACTGGTGATCTAGCAACTAATGGAAACTAGATGTGAATTAGAATCTTACTCTTGTTTTATGGCAAATGATCTGAATTGTGGGGTCTGTGTGTGCCTTTGTTTCATTTTTTTATTCTCCATCTTACTGTGTTCCAGGGGAGTATTCCAGAGGAGCAGCTACTGAAATAAGCTATGCTGAAACCATTGTTATTTTATTTCCTTTTCTCCTCCAGCTTTCAACTCTTGTAGTTCTTTAACACGGATATACTTCATAAAGACTTTATTTTCTTTACCGAATCGGCGCTTGCATTCTGAAAAGATGCTCTCCCCACTTGGGCTAAGCTAAAGGGGAAAAGGCAGAAGTGTCTGGCCACCCTCCCCTTCATGAGTAAATCCATGCAGAGAAGGATTTTTCCCTGAAATAAAGTGGATGCAGGCAGCATACTGTCCCCAGAAATGTAGAAAGCTACACAAGAGTTTTGGGCAGAGGATCTGGAGACCTGTTCATGGGAACGATTGTTATTATTTTATTGTTTTTAATCCTACTGTGTAGGCTGCCTAGAGTTCCTTCTGAAACTGAGGCAGCATACAAGTTGATTAATGAATGAATGGAACAAACCTGGGGTGCAGTTGCTCACACCCCTGGGCATGCATGTGCAAACCTGAACAATTACTCCCTGAAAGATTTTGCAGCAAAAAGGGGGTAAAAAAGCACAAGCCATATCTGGACAAGCATGCCCTCACTTTTACCTGCCCTCCAAATGTACTGAAGCTGAAAAAGTGGCAGTGATTAAACCCCCAGCAGGAATCTTCTTTATCTCCTTGAATAAGTATATTTCATGTCAAAAGTGCAACCTCTGCTCTCGTGTCTATACCATCTACTATCTCCCCCATAGGAAGATAAAGTGGACTTCCTAGTTAAAAAGATCAGTACCTTATCATTAATTAACCAAAACAATACAAAACAAGCCACAGATCTAATTATTACCCTCCCCATGTCTCATCTACCATGGACACTTTTGGATGAGAGCTTTATTGCACAACACACACAACGGTCATGACCTTATTTAAAGCATTTAAGAAGCTGTCTAGATGATACTCCCCACTCTCTGTAACTCTCCCACCTTTCCCCACCACTTCTTCAGTCATTTTCCTTCCAGAAAAAAACATGTTCAGATGGAAAATAACAGATCTGCAATCAGCTTCTTTTAATTGTCAGCACTAGAAGCCTACTCTTTGAAAAGACTCTATTCAGACAAAGCCCCATGAAGATCAATCAATGCCAGAAGGCACAGAGGACTAAAATGGGAAGTCAATTGTTAGTCCCTAGAAAATAAATAAATAGTAATTGTTCACTAGAAGACTTGACCATGCAAACAAAGTTTTCCAGGACTTTCAATAAAGTGGAAAGGAATCAAATCTCCAATAAAGCTTTCTGTGTTACCACATGTAAAAGCACTTCTCTGTTTAGCAAAAGAATTGAACTTCCTAAAATAAAGAATTGAAGAAGCTCAATGGTGCATTCACTCTCATTCTCCAAAGGAGAGTGTAAGGAAGGGATTTATTTTAAAATCATACCATCAGTTTTCACCTGGTTGCTCCAGCTTTCAGGGCAGGGTGGCAGTATGAACTCTTCAACTGGATACAAGGAGTAGATAATGCTGGCAAGAGCGATTTCACCAACTGGTCACTTCATCCATCAGACCCAGAATGATTCTTTTCAACACTTCAAAGCCATAATGGGGCACTCCTGAGAAAGGGTGTGCAGGGCAGGAAGAATGGAAATCAGTTGTGCTACCTTTAGATCTTTTCTACAAGGTCACTCTTTGCCCACTTAAAATGTCAATTGTTATTTTAAAATGTTAATCCATATGCATTATAACTGTCCATCTTTCTTTAAGGTCATTATTTCACATTCCATTTCAGCTAAGTGCCTCTTTTAAAAAGTGGCACTTTTACCCTTAACATGCCCACTTCCTTTTGTCAAGAGAATGAAAGGAAGAACTCAATAGCTCAGAAAGAAGGCAGAGCCTTCTTCTTATTCTTTCTCCTGCAGCAGAAATGAGGCCATCACCAGATAAAAGGCTAAAGTAGTCAAGTTCTTCAGTAGCTACTACCAAGTAAAATATTTCTTGGGCTGGTGGACTCATTAGGAATTTTGGGACCAAATCAAGGGTGAGAACTTGTCCGTTTTGATCAGGAACCAGAAGCCTCTGTGAATTGTCTATGGAGACTCTCCAAACACCCTCGGCCCAGAACTCTAGGTGCAAAACTCTCAACATTGGTTCACCTCTTCTGGAAAACCCCACCAGAACCTTTCCTAAACTTCCAGCAGTAAAACAATTACAGTAAATTAATCAGCTTCTCATGGCCCTCAAAACTATTTGTATGACGAAGCTGCCCTGCTCTATAGAATGGTAAGGCTACCCCAAGCTTTGCAGACACTTAACACATCTGGGCTGGAAGAGCTTCAAAGTCCAGAAGAGAGAAAGAGGCACCATGGAAGGAAAGAAAGGAAAGAAGCAGATCTCATTCCCTAAAGAGGTTACTGAGCCTGGACAGTGGGGGGAGTTCAAGAAGATGTAGAACAGAAATGGGGAATAGAAAACAAAGCCAATTTTTGTTGGACTACTGATCATGCTGTATGACACTAATGGAATCTGATAACAGCTAGAGGGATGTACTAAACTGGCCTGCTTTTACATTTCTAATGCCCCCTCTCCCAACTCTAACCAGTCAGTTTAGCAGAACTAACAAGAGATATAGATGACAAGAAAACTGATTCAACTGTTATCAAAAGTTGAAGTTAGTTTCTAAGCAAATGTAGCCACTTATCTGTTGCAGACACTGACCTGCAAGAGATCAAACAGTTCTTAGCTTTAATCTAAGAAAGGAAGATACCCACAGACCAGCTCTAATTTTTACAAGATCAATTCAAACATTAGCTAATGATAGCTAAAATAAGAGACTGCCCTGACTTTCTAACGTTATCAAAATGTTATTTCTTATTTTTAAAGAAACTTAAAGGCTTGTTAGAAATATCAGACAGCCTAGTCTTGAATGTTATCATGTTAATAGGGAGATAACGCTCAGCATTACCTTTTCTAATCTGCCTTCCAAATATCTTGAATTTCCATCAACCTCACTGTGGGTGGGGAAGTGTACCATGCAACTTGTTAGCTACGAGACATAGCACCTTGTCTCTGGAGCATTCTGAGCTAAGGAAAACGGATTTCAAGAAACAAAAGATAAAGCTGAATACTTTACCTTGATAGGAGAGCAGGAAGAAACATCTTTGATCCAGCCACTGAAAGCACTGACTCCAAAGTGAACACCTTCATATGCTTTTAAGTCTTTTGCTGGTGTTGTCAACCATGTTGCATCATTCCGAGACGGTATTGCACTTTCTTTAGTGGAAAACCTCCAAGGATGTTCACCACAGCCCAGGACTGTCTGGAGGAGGAGAAAGAGGTGACAAAAAATGGCCATGAGACTTATACTTCAGTAACCAACCTAGTTCTGGGTGCCCAGATGTCCAACCATTTGGCTGATTTTAGGCAGATGGAACATGTTCGCTTTATTTAGAAACTTTTAAAAAATGTGCAGATAAATAATGATAACCCCATGATTTCATTTATGACATTTCTCGACTATTCAACCACTTCAGGCTTTTGTTTGTTTGTTGTTTAACACATAGACATAAATTAGGATTTACAAATCTCTATCAGGGTGGAAGTTAACAGTGAACAGATCAAATGGAAAAAAATATGCACACCATATACTCAAGAGTCATAGAATTGGAAAGGACCTCAGAGCTTATATAGTCCAACCGCCAGCTTAATCTCATGTTCATTTTAATAATGGACTTCCAATTCATCTTTTGTTTCAAAGTTAACTAGTTCCCACAGTAGAGAGTTGTGTGCACACAGCTCTCTGCCTCAAAAACCTGCCTTAATCTCAAGTGGACTTGAAAATATGTGCGTAAAAGTACACTAGATAGTATTCCCACAACTGAGTGCCCTTAAAATGCTTTGGGGCTGCAGCTAGTTTCTAAAGCTGTGAAGAATGAGCAATGACAACACCAGAGTGGCCTGTATGTGTATACAGGATGTGCATGTAAAATTCTTAAGAACTACATATTCAGCATCCCACATAACTCATTCCCTTTGGGGAAAAAATCCCAGCTGTAGCATTCAGCTTTCAATAGGCAGTTTAGAATTTCTAGTAAAGCCATTCTGCTTGGTTCCCTGACATAACCTTTCTTGACAAATGTGGCAAGCCCATGAGGACCTCACGTTCTAGGAAACAAAGGCTTAGAGGTGAAAAAAAAACCCTTAGTTCCTACAGTATATCAGACAGCTTCCCTCAGCTATGACCCAGAGGAGAAGCAGGTTCAAGTAAAGATTGGACAGCTATTGTTAAGAACAACCCTGATCTCATCTTCTTTAATTAAACATAGGCTTGGTATGATCAGAGAAAGATCAATAACTACATTTATTAGTGACTGGAAACCCCTTGTGGACTTTTTGATGAAAAAAGAGAAAAATGAACTTGTGATTTATGGGTTGGAAGGTTAGAAAAGGTATCTTATGGAAAGAAGGAAATGATGATGTAACCTTAGAGAGGGTGAAATATAAATGTATCTATAACCACTGTCAAGAATATTGGAAGCTGCTTTTTTAGAACCTTTGTTTTCTTTTTTCTATTTCTATTTCTTTTTCTATATTTCTTTTTTACTCTCTTATTACTTTTCTTTATCCTTTAATTCAAAATGTGTACTGTTTTTAATTCTGTTGAAAACCTTCTCCAATAAAAAATATTAAAAAAAAATAAACATAGGTTGGACTAGACAGAGGTCCTTCCTAATTTTGTGATCTTGCAGAAAAGAGGTCAGAGAAAGTAATCCTTGGAGGAGGAGCTACAACAGGCAACCTTACATAATGAATGCACCCTGGATCTAAACAATGGTTTTGCCAGTTCTACAGCAGCAGAAACAATCTACCTGACACAGTTCACTTCAATTATCTCACCCAAATGAGAAGAAATTGATCAAAATGGGACAGTGAGATGGAGACAGCTCAATATGTAATCACAAGGCATAATAGTAAAAGACTTGGGCTTGTGAAGGGACCGTTTCATTTGCACTTTGCTAGTAGAAGTAAGAAAGTAAGAGCTTCACTATCATCAACTCTGAGGAACAGAAAAGAGGAATCGCTGCTAGAACAAGTCACCGAGTGCAATGAAAATCTGGGAGCGGACAGCAACACAACTGTTAAGAAAAGGGCCAGGAGCTGTCCATGGTGGCGCTACAGTTTTCAAGACTCTTCCCCGGTGGAAGAGTTGTCGTAACACCCACAAAATATAATCACGCAAGGTGCCGAGTGACAGAGGTTAACAAACATTACTGCAAAGCTTTTACATTGCTATATCTGGATATCCTGAGAACAGTCTTTTCCTAATTTGGTATCTTCCAGATACTCTGGATTACAACTCCCATGATGCTGAGTAATGATACAGCAATGATACCCTAATGGGAACTGAAGTCTGGCACAGCCCATTCATTCTCTGGCACAAATAAAACCCTCCTCTTTCCTTAATCACTCTCTCCTTCCCCTTTGTATCTCTTTCTAGATTGTAACCCCTTTGGAGCAGGAACTTTAATTCTTTACAAAACTCTAAATTCTTTTCTACCCCCAAAAAGATAACAAAGCAGAGAAGAGATCCAATTTCATTGTCAAAGCATGTTGGCAATCATAAGATTTTTAACAAATGAATGCAAATAAAATTACTGCAGGATAATGATTTAACATGGAGGAAGACACCTAGTTACATCTACATAGCCCCACAACCTGAACCTGAAAAGGAAGTACAGAAGCCCACAGAGGATAAGGCTATCTAGAGATCAACTGTCATAACAACTATATGTGACCCATGGGATCAAAAGCTGAATGCACTTGTTGCTAAGGAACATAAGCAGGTGGTTGCTCTCACAGCCATGCTTGGCTTGTGAGTCTCTCAAAGGCATTTGGTCAACCACTGTGAAAAAATGAACCATCTACTGGATTGATCCAACATGGCTCTTAAGAGCCAAAGATCTCAGCTTCCCACCAAGCAATTTTCTGCTGTAACCCAGGCCAGCTTTGCAGCCAGCAAAAGGCAAAGGAGGACGAACTGACTTATTGTACCAAGCCACCATGTGGTTTGTTGGTTTGGCTTAGTGTGATGTGTGAAACTCAGCTACCCTCTGTACTCTCTACTCTCTGTAAACCATGGTTTTAAGCCTCAGCGTGCCATTTGAGGCTTATTCGATTAACCAGCAAACCCCAAAAGCTACAGCACAGTTTGAGACATTTTCCTCTCAAGCATTTCAAAAACAGGCTTCTGGGCTGTCAGAGACAACAGCCTGACCACATTGTCCAAAGGAAAACAAAACTAAATTAAATGCTGCTCAATAATTAAAACCAAGGGTAAAAACCAGGATGTGTGCATCAGCTTTGATCCAATACAAATCATACATTGATTTGATCCGTCAAACTGATTTGCATTTACAATTCAAGTCAGGTTTGTGACCCAAACCAAACTGATTTGATCTGATCCAGAAAAAAATTGCATTTTGATTCAAAAGCATTCTGTTCACTTTGACTCACTAAATCCATAATTTGATTTGAAGGGTTCATTTAACTGAAATACCTCCAAACTGACTCTCTGATTCAAACTTTGCACAGCCCTAATGAAAAACTAGACAGAAACAATTTCAGAAACAGAATTAGTACAGTTCTGTTCCAACTACATAGAAACAATGTATGTTCTAAAATTTGCACAGCCAGACATTATTCTTGGTCAACAACAACAAAAAAAAAATAACACATGTACACACAAAATTTCAAGAACAGATAACATTCAAAGAGGCTAAGGAAAGGCTAAAATTGCACAATACACTGGACTAATCTAAAATCACTTAGCCTTAAAGTAATGTGTAGTTTGACCCTTAGGCTTATGTTTGAAAATCTAGTAATATAGAAATCTATTCTTGATTTAAGCAACCTACGCATTCAAGAAAGGCACACATAAAAATGATCAATCTGTAACATTACCTGTACTTCAGATGCAAGATGAATTTGCTACACGAAAGTTCTTGAGAAGGAGTCTGGTCTCCAGGGTTAAGCGGCTGCAGAATCTCCAACTGCCACAGCCAGCACACGGCATGGAATTCCCAGAGCCTCCTGCTTTCATCTACAAGGAGCTGAGTGTCAAAATGCTCTGCAACCATCATCTGAGCAGAACTGGCACCAAGAATCCAAACACTGAGGCCACAGCTCCTGTGAAAACTTTAAGAGTTGTGGCTGTCAAACTGGAGTCCCCTGGGTACAAGCATCCTTTGCTGGAGCCTTTCTGCCATGCACTTCCAATATGCCCCTTTGGCCACACCCTGGAACATTTTGCCACAGATTTTACATCAGCTCCTTCAACAGCCTTCCTGTAGAGACAAATGGTAGAATATGGACAATGCTCAGAGCCCATGGGCACAGTTCCACCACCCTCCAAGAAGATGCTCTAGACTTTTAGAGTGATTGGCTCTTCAGATCATCTGCAAAGATCACAATCCCTAGACGGGAAGCAAGAAGATCATATTTTGTCCCCCAAAGAGATCAACAGATATAGTACAAGGCAATCAACCCAACTCTGGGGCACTCCAGATGTGTGGATCATCTCTCAGAATTCCCCAACCAATTTAGCTGAGAGTTCTGGAAGTTGAAGGCACACATCTGGAAGTTACCAGGATTGGAGAAAGTTGGTACAAAGACTAAAAGTACCAAGTTGCCATTCAGAATGTCCCCAATTTGAATTTTGGTGCTGCTATTGCTGCACATTTACCAGATAGCCATACCTAAGTCATTCATTTGCAACTTCAGCTTCCCTGCCTGCAATGTGGAATTAATGCTGACTTGGCACAAAGACTCTACATTCCCATAGAAATTACTATGTGGTGACATAAATAAAAATTATCCAGCTATATCATATTAAGGCCAATCACCTTCAAATTGTGCTCAACTCCTGACGACTTCATAAACACATCCAGGTAATTTTCTTGGCAACACTACAGAAGTGATTTGTTGCTAGGTCTCCCTGTTTCTTCTATTTTCTAGGCTAGCCTAAAGCCCTAAGGGTTCCTAGTGGTCTCCCATCCACAACCTGATCGGGATCATCCTTAACTAACAAATACCAACTAGCTGAAGTTGGCAACTTTGGGGAACTGGCTGTTGGGGGATATAAGCAGTTATGCAGATTCAGATTCCCCCAGATCTCCTAAATGCTATGCTCTGGCTCTCCCACCCACCCCTGACAATTTTCCAGGGGAGCTGGACTAGTCATTTTAGCTGCCTCCCATATCAATGAGGCTGTTACTTGAGAAAATTAAAGAGGGAGGGGGGCAAAACTTGATTAAATTGCTTTGCTCAGCTTCAGTCCTCACCCAAACAAATGGATGCAGTCCAAACAGGCACGTGCCTAGGCACAAATTCCACAACCACAGCCTCTCCTTCTGCCAAGTCCCTGCACGTGCACGGGGTTGAACCCCGTCGGTTTATTTATTCATAAAGCACCGCTTTGCCAGCCAATGAATCTCCAAGGCTGCGAGTGGGGCGAGCTGCTCAGTCAGGCGAACCCGCTCTGAACAGACCCCTCGCTTTTCCTCGGTGCCGCTCAACTGCCTTGGGGATTCCTCCCGGGTCAGTCCCGGCCGAGCGAGTTTAGGCTCAGAAGCCAAACAGGGGCAGGGAATACTTAGGAGAGGAGGCTACCGGGAAAACCAAACTGGGAAAAGCAAGTCTGGGAGAGCAAACCCCTTTCGAATCGCTGCCCACAAAGTCCACTCGACCCCAGGCCGCGCTAACCCTCACCCCGTGCCCAGCGGGCTGGGGCTTCGCGCGGCTGAGCTTACCTCTCGGGCCCGGCTGAGCCGCCAGGGAGATGTGACGAGCCCTCCGAGCCCAGGGCTTGCCCGCGGCTGCTGCGGTGTCCTGGCCGCCCCGGGGCCAGGCTTGCTCCGCGCGGCGGGACGCAGGGAGCTGCGGGGGAGAGAGGGAAAGCAGAAAGCCGCGGCCCGCGAAGACTCGCCAGGCAGGCTGG